CCACTCCTCGGAAGGAAGGTTGGGCAATCTACTTCTGTAGTGATACTGCCTCGGAAACCCAAGGAGGGGTCGCTATGAGTCGGGGCCGACTCGACAGCAGTGGGTTTGGGTTTTTGGCTTTTAGTCTTTACAGAGGAACACAGTCAGGTCTTTCTTCCAAGGAGCAGCTGGTCGGTTAGAACTGCCAACCTCTCAGTTAGCCGCCAAGCACTTAACCATTGCACCACCAAAGCTCCTTCCAGACTCCAACTCACGGCCATGGAGTCAGTCCTGACTCATAGAGACCCTCACTGGGTTTCCATGGCTGTCAGACTTTACAAAAGCAGCCTCATCTTTCTTCTGTGGAGCAGCTGGATTGAACCACCGGGCTTTGGGTTAACAGCCAAATGCCTTAACCACTACACCAGCAGAGCACCTTCCAAAACTCCTTAGGTATTATTATTATTAACCCCAATTTCCAGATGAGAAAACTGAGGTAGAGAAATTAAAGAACTCTCTCAAGATAACACGGCTGCTAAGAGGGAGAAGCAGATTGGGACCCACACAACATATGCTTTCAACCACCACCTGGTCCTCCTCCTCGCTTTCTCCTCTCCCTCTTTCTTTCCTTCCCCCACCCCCTCCCCATATTTTTTATTCAAATCATGATTATCAATATGAGTTGGATGTGCAGACATCCTAAAGAGTTTTCAGTCTGAGATACTAGACTGTTGTTCATTCACCCAAGAAACGGTTTCCGAGTACCTACTATGTGCAGAGGAGCCCTCGGGGTGCAGTGATTAAGCGCTTGACTGTCAAGTGGAAGGTTGGCAGTTCAAATCCACCAGCTGCTCCCGGGGAGAAAGATGAGGCGGTCCACCCGGTAAAGATGACAGCCTTGGAAACCCTGTGGGGCAGTTCCACTCTGTCCTCTAGGGGCGCTGTGGGTCAGAATCGACTCCACAGCAGTGGTTTGGTTTGGGCTTTGCTTCCGTAAAGACTGACAGCCTGCAAAACTCTATGGTGCAGTTCCACTCTGTCCTCTAGGGGCGCTGTGAGTTGGGATGGCCTCAACAGCAACACTTGACTAAGTGAGAGTGCTGGGTTTCAGTTGCTGGGGTTTCAGTGGGGAGCCTCCATTCTGGGAGCCAGATAGGCATCAATCAAGTAATCACTTCAATGTGTGATGGAATGAGCCTTAGCCAGGAGGTGGTCAGGGAAGGCTTCCTGGGCGAGGTGACGCTGACACTAAGGCCTGAAGGATGAAAGGGTGTAAACTGTGAAACAAAAAGGGAAGAATGTGCCGTGAAGAAGGAAAGAACTTGTAATGGTCGATGGCAGTGGAAATGGAAGTGGATGGTTTAGAGAGAGTTAGAAGGCAAAAAGGTCTCCAGGTGGTACCAACCATTTGTGTTTGACTGCTAACCCACAGTCCTAAGGCATTTTTGACTGCCAACCAGAAGGCTGGCGGTTCAAACCCATCAGCCACTCCTCGGAAGGAAGGTTGGGCAATCTACTTCCATAGAGATACCACTTTGGAAACCCAAGGAAGGGTCACTATGAGTCAGAACCAACTTGACGGCAGTGAGTTTTGTTTTTTGTTTATTCCTATGAAAGGAGCCCTGATTGCGCAGTGGTTAAAGCACTCCACTGCTAACCAAAAGGTAGACAGTTTGAACCCACCAGTTGCTCTGTGCGAGAAAGATGAGGCAGTCTGCTTTGTAAAGATTTACAGCCTTGGAAACCCTACAGGGCAGATCTGCTCTGTCCTCTAGGGGCTCTGTGAATCAGAATTGACTCAATGGCACACAGCAACAATGCTAATCTAAAGGTTGGTGGTTCGAACCCACCCAGTGGTGCCTGGGAAGACAGACAGGCCTGGTGACCTGACTCTGTAAAGATCACACAGCCCAGAAAACCCTATGAGGCAGTTTCTACTTTGTTACACATGGGGGTACCATAAGCCAGACTCCACAGCAATGGGGGCTGTTTCTGTTCGTTTGTTGGTTTAGAAGGTGAAATGGACAGGACTTGGTGGCAGATGGTTTTGATGGGATTGGAGGGGAGAGGTGTGCCGGGTATCTGGGTCATGTGGGACAATTCAGTTATTCCATCACCAGGTGTTTACTGAGCACCTATCCGGTGCCAGGCGCTGCCCCAGATGCTGGCGGAACCACAGGGGACACAACAGATAAAAATCCCTCTGTCGTGAAGTTTACGTTTGGGGCGAGTGACATTCCTCCCAGAGACTGTTGTTGGCTGCCGTGAGTCTACTTCAACTCACCCTGGTGACCACAGGTGACAGAGTGGACCTGCCTCAGGGGGGATTCCTAGGCTGTACTCTACGGGGCCCGATTGCCAGGCATTTTCTGCCATAGAGCCACTGGCTAGATTTGAACCACCAATCTTTCAGCTGGCAGCAAAATGCTTAACAGCCAAGTACCACTAAGACTCCTTGGACAGTTTATATTATAGAAGTTTGCAAGCTACAAGACTTGCCAACCCACAGCCCGTCTTTGTAAATAAAGTTTTATTGGCACACAGCCATACCCATTCATTTAATGCATTGTCAATATACCAAACCAAACCAAACTCTGCCATTGAGTGGATTCCAACTCATAGCGACCCCCACTGGGCTTCCGAGGCTGTAAATCTTTATGGAAGTAGATTGCCCCATCTGCCTTCCGCAGAGCAGCTGGTGGGTTTGAACTGATGACCTTCTGCTTAGCAGCCAAATGCCTTATCCACTGCGCCACCAGAGCTCCTCCTTATTCTCAATATGTTGTTGTTGTTATGTGCCATCGAGTCAGTCCCGACTCATAGCGACCCCTCCATGGGTTTCCGAGGCAGTATCACTAGGGAAGTAGATTGCCCAACCTTCCTTCCGAGGAGTGGCTGGTGGGTTTGAACCACCAGCCTTCTGGTCAGCAGTCAAATCTCAATATAGCAGCAGAATATATTCTATCTGATCCTTTGGTTTATGCCAGCCTCTGCTCTATAAATTTAAAACCTCCCCCCAAAATTCAAATATCACCCCCAGTGGAGAAGTACTAACCCCCTTTCAGAAAACAGTTGTTGGTTTAAATATTACCGAGGAGGTATATTCTGACGTTATCTCCCTTGTGTTATGTTTTCTGCAGCTACTAAAACAAATCCCCACCAAGTGTAATTTAAAACAACACTTTTCTTGGTTTATGGTTCTGGAAGTCAGAGGTTTGAAAAGCATCTTGCTAGGCTGTGGTGGTGTAGTACCTAAGGCACTTGACTGCTAACCAGAAGGCTGGTGGTTCAAACCCACCAGCCACTCCTCGGAAGGAAGGTTGGGCAATGTACTTCCATAATGATACCGCCTCGGAAACCCAAGGAGGGGTCGCTGAGTCGGATCTGACTCGAGGGCAGTGAGTTTGGTTTGGTTTTTGAGGCTAAGACTCAGGTGTCAGCAGAGCTGAGTGTGGAAGACTTGAGGGGGGAATCTAGTCCCCACCTTCCAGGCTTTCGAAGGCCGCACACTCCTTGTTTTGTGGCCAGAAGCACTTCTAGGGTGTGGCAGGTATGGCGCCCGCCCTGGGCGCCACTTGAAGGGGGTGCAACTGAGCAGTGTATTAACTCCATGCACCCCCATGTCCGTCCTCGAGAGCAGTAGACAGTCAGAGGCGTAGAAGGGGCGGGCAGAGGTCGCCATCCTGGAGCTCAAACCCAAGAGGGAGGCCAGACCGGACGCAGAGTGACATTCCGAGGCCCCACAAACACGGCAGGACAAGAGGGGGGAGTCCTTTCTGCTGCCATGTCGCCACTATCATTCATGCGAAGTTGGGGGCAGGGGGGCAATTTAGAGATTGCCCCTCGACGCTGCCATAACTAGAACCAAACTCGCTCCATCTAGTGGATTCCGACATAGCAACCTCCGTTGGGTTTCCAAGGCTGTCAGTCTTTATGGAAGTAGATTGCCCCATCTTCCTTCCACAGAGCCGCTGGTGGGTTTGAACCGCTGACCTTCTGGTTAGCAGCCAAATGTCTTACCCACTGCGCCACCAGAACTCCAGGAGCACTGGACTGGGGGGTGCGATTCAGAGATCGCCCCGTGCTCCTGACTCTTCCAGGCCCTGCAGGGGTACGGTTTCAGAGCTTGTTGTAGGCGCTGTTTTCTGTAGGTGCCTCACCTCCAGCCCCTTCCCCCATCTTCAGAGCCAGCAGTACACCATCTTCCGCTCTCTCTGCCTCTGCCTCCCTCTTCCACTGAGCAGGACCCACGGCCCACCCACCCAGACAATTCGGGACAATCTTCTCATTCCAAGATCCTGCCCTTCACAGGCTCTCCTAGGCTGTAATCTACGGGAGCAGATGGCCAGGTCTTTTCTCCTGTAGAGCTGCTGGCTGGTAGGTTTGTAAGCAAAAGTTATAGCAGCCAAAAGCTTTCATCGTTGGACCACCAGGGCTTCTTTAGATATCTTTAAAAAATACCCAAACCAAACTCGTTGTTGTGGAGTTGATTTCAACTCATAGCAACCCTGTATGGCAGAAATAGAACTGCCCCAGAGGGTTTCCAAGGCTCTGGTGGTGCAGTGCCTAAGGTATCTGACTGCTAACCAGAAGCCTGGAGGTTCAAACCCACCAGCCACTCCTCGGAGGGAAGATTGGGCATTCTACTTCCGTAGAGATACTACTTCGGAAACCCAAGGAGGGGTTGCTATGAGTCGGCTCTGACTGCATGGCAGTGAGTTTGTTTTTTGTTTTCAACTTCACAGAAGCAAAGCCCAAACCAAACCCTCTGCAGTGGAGTCAATTCCGACCCACAGCGCCCCTAGAGGACAGAGTGGAACTGCACCACAGGGTTTCCAAGGCTGTCAATCTTCACAGAAGCAAAGCCCAAACCACACCCACTGCCATTGAATTCCATTCCGACTCACAGCGCCCCTAGAGGACAGAGTAGAACTGCCCCACAGGGTCTCCAAGACTGATCTTTCAGAAGCTAAATGCCACATCTGCTTCCCTCGGAATGGGTGGTGGGTTAGAACTGTTGACGTTTTAGTTAGCAGGCGAGCACTTAACCACAGTGCCACCAGGTATCCTTTTGGATATCTCTGCGGGCCACTATTCTGCCTGCCACATGTTATTTCTACAAAGATTTTCCACGTAAACTTTCTTTAGTGTGACATACACATGTGCAACTTGATGGGTTTTCACAAAACTACATATATATATATCTCCAGCACTCAGAACAAGAAACCAAACACCTCCAGCCCCGAGAAGCACCCTCTTGTGCCCCCTCCTAGGATTAAATACTCAAGAGTAACCAGTCGTCAGTCCTTTAACAGCAAACGTTAATTTTGTCTGTTTTTGAACTTAATTCAAATGGGAATCACACACTATGTTCTCTTTTGGGTCTAGCTTGTCTCACAGGACATGTCTGTGAGATTCACCCACCTCGTTAGGGACAGCAACAGTTTGTTCATCCTTTATTGCTGATCGGTGGTTTATTTTAAGAGTATATCACAACTTATTTTCCCACTCTTTTGTTGGATATTTCAGCTGTTTCAAGTATTTGGCTAATGTGAATAGTGCTGAATATATATATATATATATATATATACGGGAGCTCTGGTAGCATAGTGGCTAAGACACTTGCCTGCTAACCAGACGGCTGGCAGTTCAAACCCACCAGCCTCTCCTCGGAAGGAAGATGGGGCAATCTACTTCCGTAGTGATACTGCTTCGGAAACCCAAGGAGGGGTCACTATGAGTCAAGTCAAGTCAATGGCAGTGACTTTGGTTTGGGCTTTTCTCCCAGTGGGTGTGGTTTGGGCTTTGCTCCCATAAAGACTGACAGCCTTGGAGACCCTGTGGTGCAGTTCCACTCTGTCCTCTAGGGGCGCTGTGGGTCAGAATCCCCTCCAGGCACTGGGTTTGGTTTGGGCTTTACACCTGTGGGTTGGGCAATCTACTTCCGTAGTGATACTGCCTCGGAAACCCAAGGAGGGGTCGCTATGAGTTGGGTTTGACTCAACGGCACATAACAACAACAACAATATATTATATATAATATATATATGCACGAAGGAGCTCTCATGGCATAGTGGTTAAGGCATTTGGCTGCTAACCAGAAGGCGGGTGGTTCAAACCTACCAGCTGCTCTGTGGGAGGAAGATGAGGTAATCTATTTCCGTAAAGTTTTTAGTCTTGAAAGCCTTGTGAGTCTCTGTGAGTCGGAATCAACTTGGTGGCTGTGGGTTTTTTTGTGCATATAGTATTCTTCTGTAGGTACCATGTGTATATATTTATACTGAGTGGAACTGCTGGATCATAGGAGAGACGTATGGTCAGCTTGAGTGTCTACTACAACCGTCACACGGTGTTCATTCCCGTCGATGACGTATGAGAGTTCCAGTAGCTCCACAGCGTAATTAACACTTGATACTATCAGTCTCCTTCATTTTGGTTCTTCTGGAGAGTGCAGTGGTATCTCATTAGGGTTTTCATTTGTATTTCCTCGATGAGTAGGGAGTTTGAGTGCCTTTTCATGTACACAAAGTTTTCAGACACAGAAGCATTGCTTATGGATACATAAAAAACTAAACACCCAGTTTTGTGGTTACCTCTGGGGAAGAAAGGAAAGGAGTTTGTTGGGGCAGGGTTCCCCAGAGAAACTCAACTCTGATGTCATTACTGATAAACTAGAAGTGCACACAGGAGTATCTGGAAAGTTTTCTTTAAATTTTTGGGGGTAAATATAATAAAAAAAAATCCATTCAGTTTTGAGAAAGCTGTGAGTGCAGGAAGCAGAATTATAGTGAACACAGCATTTAGCTTGTTCCAGGCACTGTGCGTAAGTGCTTTACACATATCAACCCTTTTAATCCTGACACCAGTTCCTGTGACAAAGGTATTATTATTATGACTACTCCCTTTTAACAGGGAAGGAGCTCTGGTGGTGCAGTGGTTAAGGCATTTGACTGGTAACCAAAAGGTCAGTGGTTCAAACCCACCAGCTGTTCTTCAGAAGAAAAGTGAGGCGGGATGCTTCTGTAAAGATGTGCAGCCTTGGAAACCCAGTGGGGGTTGCTATGAATTGGAATCAACTCAATGGTAGTGAGTTTGGTGGGTTTTTATTTTTTTGGTTTTAACATACCATGAGGTCCCTGAGTGGTGCGAACAGTTTGCGCCCATCTATTAATCTGAAGGTTGGCAGTTCAAACTCACCGAACGTCACCACCTGGAGAACTGCTTCCAGTAAGATCACAACCAGGCAAACCCCATGGTAGCACCTAGGGTGGCCAGGAGTCCGAATCGAATCCAGGCAACAGGTTTGGTCTTTCCTGTTAATGTATGAGGAAAGTGAGGCATAGGGACTTTAAGTAATTTGCCCAAGGTCACGCACAAGGTCATAGGCCCTCTACCCTTTCTCTATGCCGGAAGCAGTAATTTGAAAGAGAAGGAAGAAGTGGGCAGGCCGCAGGGTGACGCGCCGGCCGCGGTGCCCCTTCCTCCTGCAGGCCCCCCCAGCCTGGCTGCCCGGCCTTCATCATCGTCAAGCTGAGCCCGTTGCGGGACCGCCTCGTGGTGACCGAGTGCCAGCTGACCCACTCGCACCCCGCCTGCCCGCTGGAGTTCGCCTACTACTTCCGCCCGGGCCACCTGCTGGCCAACGCCTGCCTGCCGGTGCGCACCACCAATAAGATCTCCAAGCAGTTCGTGGCCCCGGCCGACGTGCGCCAGCTGCTCTCGTACTGCAAGGGGCGCGACCACGGGGTCCTGGACGCCCTCCACGTGCTGGAGGGGCTCTTCCGAACCGACCCTGAGGCCAAGGTGGGGTCTCGGGACAGGCAGAAAAGGGGCTGGGGCGACCCACTCGCTAGACTCCAGGGTCATTTCCATTTTCCCTCACTGGCCCATGCACTGATTCAGTCATTCCTCCAGTCATTCATTCATTCGGTCAGTACTTACCGAGCACTTACTGGGTGCCAGGCATTGGGGGTGCACCACCAACCAGGACAGACAGACCTTGCCCTCAGAGAGCCCACCTCCTACCCCAGCACTCCCAGTATAACTTTCTGCCGAGGAGGCGGGAAATGTCCTACGATTCTGCCCTGTGCGGAGTGACAGCCACCAGCTACATGTGGCTGTTGAGTACTTGAAATATGGTGGGCGGCTGAGAAGCTTTGTTTATTATTATTGAGTTAACCTGGGTTTTGTTTTTACTTCATTCAAGTTTATTTACTTTTTTTTTTTTTTTTACTGGAGTGAAAATGTGCACCACACAATGTTGGCCAATTCGACAGTTTAATTTCTTTTTAATTCATTGGAACATCAATAGCCATCTATGCCTAGTGGCTACCGCACTGGTCTAATGGCAGAACGGACAATAGACAAACATATCTAACTGTTATATAATGTCAGTGGGTTGAGTGTGAGGGGCCCTGGAGAGGCCACGGTTAAGCGTTTGGCTGCTATCCCAAAGGTTTGTGGTTGTGGTCTGTCCAGCTGCTCTGCACAAGAAAGACCTGGCTATCTTGTCCCGTAAAGGTGACAGCCCAGGAAGCTCTAGGGGACACGTCTGCTCTGTCGCAGGAGGGCGCTATGACTCGACACTCACTGGACGGCACCTGAGAACCGGGGCTGGGTGCTGGGATCTGGAGGATCGAAAGTGAGAGGAGGTGCTGTGTTCTTCTAATGATTTTTATTCTCACTGCCCTGGAGCCACAGCCTCTATTTTATGAACCAGAAACAACAACAAAAAAAAACAAACTCACTGCTGTTGAGTCTATTCAACTCATAGCATCCCTTCCTTGAGTGTCCCAGGCAGTATCACTACGGAAGTAGATTGCCCAACCTTCCTTCTGAGGAGTAGCTGGTGGGCTTGAACCGCCAGCCTTCTGGTTAGCAGTCAAGTGCCTTAGGCAGGCACTACGCCACCAGAGCTCCTTTCTGTTTTATAAAAAAAACTTTTTTTTTTTTCAATTCTCATTGTGATTTGGGTGAAAGTTGACAAAGCAAAATCATTTTCCATACAGCTGTTCATATACACTTTGTCTCATGACATTGACTGCAATTTCCCACAATGCAAGAGCTCCCCTCCCACTTCCTCCCCATAGTTACCTCTCCCCTGTGTCCTTCCCTCCCATGCACTCCTGCCCCCTGAGCCGTCTCCCTGTGCAGACACAGCTCTTCTATTCTCACATGATTGATCACTCTGAGTGTATCTTCCTGATGGAAATGTTCACCCCATCTGCCTGTCTGTTGTTTGACTGGAAGCCACAGGAGTGAGTTCAGCTTCGGACCTGAAGGGCAGCCAGGGGCTGTAGTCTCGCAGCTATTATTCATTATTATTCTCATTCTGCCAATTTAGCCATCAGGATGGTCTGCAATAGAGTCATTCTGATCACGTAGAAAAGGAACGATGTGTGTGGTCACACAGGAGGTGTGGACGGGAAGGGCTTAAGTGGCATGGCTTCTGATGTTCCCATTTGTGGGATCTGCTGTCTGTGGAAGGAGCCCTGGGGGCACAGTGGTAAGGTGCTCAGCTGGTAACTGACAGGTTGGCAGTTGGACACCAGCTATTCTGCGGGAGAAAGATGAGGAGATGAGGCAGCTTGCTTCTGTAAAGATTGACCACCTTAGAAACCCTGTGAGGCAGTTCCACTCTGTCCTCTAGGG